ATATATATATATATATACCTTTGAAACAAGTGATGGTCAGTGATTGGGGGAATTTCTGTCAGATGATTCAAAAGTACTATATTTGTATAGAAGTTACAGCAGAATTATGAGTATGGCCTGAAAAATTCACTGAAACATCATGAAATGTCATGTTTATTATTGTCATTGATTTTTGTTTTGTAATACACATGTGGGCACGCTGTTTTCAAAGCTGATATAATCAAACTATTTCATGTTGTCTCAAAAGGAGGTTTGTTTGTGCAAATGCAGTCAGTTGACTTTGATGTTGACTGTAGCCAATTCATAACGTCTTACAGAGTAAATTACACTTCACAACTGTCACGGCATCAAAAGCAAAAAAGAAAAGGCTGTTTCTCATGATACTTTATTTAATAGTCTACAATTTCCCAATGTCCTTTGTACTGGTCTCAAAGAACACTGATCCACATGAATTTAGGTGCTATTGATCCCATTGGGGATTTCCTTTCCCCATGACAACTCTTTTCAGACAGACGGTCCGTTTGAACAAACCCAAAACACACACACAACAGTTACAAGTCCTAATCGAGGCCTGTTCAGTGAGTGCTTCCGTTTGTGGCTAGAATAGTGATGGCACCGACTGCCTCTTTACCTTCAGACACTTGTTTGAATACACCACAAAACAAAAGTTGACAGCAATAATAATAATCAGATTTTATATTCGAAAACGAACATTATTCCATCTCGTGCTTGTCCCAGTTCCAACCTCAAAGTATTTGAGGGGAATGTAAACAACAAAGATGGTTGATTCCGATCAATTGTTTGTTTTCTGGTTCAGCACCGACACCTCCACCAAACCTCCGCAATGTCTTTTATCAATAACGGGATATGCTACCTTCAAAGCATTTCATTCATTTCAACAAATAACTTTACGCAGAGAGATAACGGCATATCTTCACACAGTCAGGACAAATCCCGCTGTGTTACGTATTTCTAAGAACTAAATTAATGTAATGTAATAATAAATAAAGATAAATAACTACTGTACATGTTTGTAATCATTGTCAAGTGATGTCACATTGAAGCCGGTCAGTGATATCAGGGTCCTTATTTTTTCCGACAATGCAACTGGGACCTTCCAGATTCAAGGGGGCATTCTAGTGCACTTTTTCTGGCTGAAGGTTCGAAAAGCCCAACCTTCCACACTCCTCGAATGCAACATTCGTTCTCTGGAGCCTCATTTCTGACAGAAGTGTGCGTAAAGCATTTGAATATTCCCACACAAAGTATAAGCCTTTGTCCGAATATATACACAAAATGTCGTTTGCACGTGAAGTTGCTTCCGCTTTGTATTTTTATTTATTTATTTATTTATTTGTTTGTTTATTGCTCACTATCTTGGGTGGTAAGCATTTGATTGCATGACACGCTTTTTGGTTGCTCTTAAAATGGTGCACTCTTGCTGCATCGCTCGGTGTTACAATAATGACAAGAGAGGAAAAAGATCAATGTTTATTTTGGATCCCGAAGATACCGTATTTTTCCGGAGTATAAGTCGCAGTTTTTTTCATAGTTTGGCCGGGGGTGCGACTTATACTCTGGAGCGACTTATGTGTGAAATGGTTAACACATTGTACACATCACATGTTATTTTCACGGTGGCGGTAACTGAGAAAAACAACTGACGATGACTCTGACGTAAGCGACGTAGAAGAGGAAGTGCTGCATCTTCTACCTCCGGAGTTGTAGGAATTGTTTAAAAGTGACACCGAGCATGAAGATTTCATTGGATTTCGTGATTTGGAGTGAGGCTGATGGTTTGGTAAATTTGTTAGCATGTTCTTTGTGCTATAGTTGTCTACATCAGGGGTCCCCAACCGCTGGTCCGCGGACCGGTACCGGTCCGCAGGGCATTTGGTACCGGGCCGCACAGAAAGAACTTGCCTTATTTCCGTTTTATTTATTTCGGAATACGAAATGTGTTTTATTTTGAAAAATTACCGGATTCTCTGTTACATCCGTCTGTGTCACGCTTGACTCACGTCAAGCCACACTTCT